CCGAAATGAGCTTTCTCCGCAGGGCGGCCGGGCGCACCCTTAGAGATAGGGTGAGGAGCTCGGTCACCCGGGAGGAGCTCAGAGTAGAACCGCTGCTCCTCCACATCGAGAGGAGCCAGCTGAGGTGGCTCGGGCATCTGTTTTGGATGCCTCCTGGGTGCCTTCCTAGGGAGGTGTTCCGGGCATGTCCCACCAAGAGGAGGCACTGGGGAAGACCCAGGACACGCTGGAGGGACTCTCAGCTGGCCTGGGGACGCCTCTGCATTCCCCCGGAGGAGCTGGAGGAAGTGTCTGGAGAGAGGGAAGTCTGGGCATCTTTGCTTAGACTGCTGTCCCCGCGACCCGGTCCCGGATAAGCGGAGGAAAATGGATGGATGGATAGAGAAATTGTTCATTTTAACATTATTTACATCACAGCACAGGTTTTTTTTTTTTGCTTTAACATCACCTCCTCTGTATACATCACTTGGTACAAATCATACTGATTTCTATGGACACGAATTCAAATGTATATCAGTGTAGGCCATATATTAAAAATGGGAAAGAAATAGAATTAAATCAAGAAGTTAGTGGACTCGGACTGAAGTTTGTTGAGTGCATCGATCCAGGTGTACACCAAAAGGACGTGAGAGCAAATACGATTAAAGGAAATTGCTCTTATGTGAACCTCAGAGACCACGTTTCATCAGACTTAGTCTTAACTTTCAGCATGTTTACCACATGACTATGACCATTTTCATAGGCTGTATTCAAAGTTCAAGTTGCTTCCAGACAAATGACAATTCTATAATTCCAGAAAATATTTTTTTAAAATAAACATATTTTTATGGATCACAATAATCATCTTGTCACCCTCAAAATGGGCCAGATGTTGAACTGAGACGCACTTCACATGTCACCATATTGCAGGACACTGAAGTGCTGCGAGCTCTGTAATGTCAGGCCACAAAAATGAATCAATAACAAGACAGAGGCAGTAAAAGTGCCCTTTAAATCAAACTTTAATCATTCTCCAGTTTCAAGGTTTCACAGTTAAAATCAATTGATTTGAATTTGGCAAAGCAATGACAGGACAGATGCATCGATGCCAATAATTCAGTGCAATCACAACACACAAAACATTTAAACCAAAACTTTACTAGGGTCAGTTAACGTCAATGCCTAACACCAGAGCAATAGTGATCTAGATAGTGACAGTTTTTCAATTCATGATGAAGAGAGATGAAAAGGATGGAATTGGGGGATGGGTGAGGTGAAATGTGGGTTGGCAGCTGAGTAAGCTGAGGTTTTAGGCAACCTCCTCCTCTCCCTCTTCCTCAAACTCGCCCTCCTCAGCAGTGGCGTCCTGATACTGCTGGTACTCGGACACCAGGTCGTTCATGTTGCTCTCTGCCTCAGTGAACTCCATCTCATCCATGCCCTCACCGGTGTACCAGTGGAGGAAGGCCTTACGACGGAACATGGCGGTGAACTGCTCAGAGATGCGCTTGAACAGCTCCTGGATAGCTGTGCTGTTGCCAATGAAAGTGGCAGACATTTTGAGGCCACGGGGTGGGATGTCACAGACAGCAGTCTTCACATTGTTTGGGATCCATTCAACAAAGTAACTGCTGTTCTTGTTCTGCACATTCAACATCTGCTCATCCACCTCCTTCATGGACATACGGCCCCTGAATACTGCAGCTACAGTGAGGTAGCGGCCATGACGTGGGTCACAAGCAGCCATCATGTTCTTGGCGTCAAACATCTGCTGGGTGAGCTCGGGCACAGACAAGGAGCGGTACTGCTGGCTGCCCCTGCTGGTGAGGGGGGCGAAGCCTGGCATGAAGAAATGCAGACGAGGGAAGGGCACCATGTTGACAGCCAGCTTACGAAGATCAGCGTTGAGCTGGCCAGGGAAACGGAGACAGGTGGTCACCCCACTCATGGTGGCGGAGACTAAATGATTGAGATCTCCATAGGTAGGAGTCGTGAGTTTAAGTGTGCGGAAGCAGATGTCATAGAGAGCTTCATTGTCAATGCAGTAGGTTTCATCTGTGTTCTCTACCAGCTGGTGGACAGAGAGGGTGGCATTGTAGGGCTCCACCACAGTGTCGGACACCTTAGGAGAAGGCACCACGCTGAAGGTGTTCATGATACGATCAGGGTACTCCTCACGGATTTTGCTGATGAGCAAGGTGCCCATGCCAGAGCCAGTACCACCACCCAGGGAGTGAGTCAGCTGGAAGCCCTGAAGGCAGTCACAACTCTCCGCCTCTTTCCTCACTACGTCCAGGACAGAGTCCACCAGCTCGGCTCCCTCAGTGTAGTGACCCTTGGCCCAGTTGTTTCCAGCTCCACTCTGGCCTACAATCAATTGTAGTTTGAATATTACACTTTAATGAGGTGGTGTAAGAAACGTAGTCAACAAAAAATGTACACTTATGTGATTACAGGTATGTCACTAAATTCACATAACCTTACCAAAGACAAAATTGTCAGGTCTGAAAATCTGCCCGAAGGGACCAGACCTGACTGAATCCATTGTACCAGGCTCCAGATCCACCAGGATGGCTCGGGGCACATACATTCCACCTGAAATCAGTTGAAATGGATCAACAGCGTCCTTCTATATAAAACTTAAGAGCCTGTTAAGCTTGATGTGTTTAATGTAGAACAGGAATGTGCACAAATCATTCTACATAGTAGTAAATCTGGGTGAATAAAGGGAAGGAAGAGGCTGTTCACTTTGCTCTGTTGTGCATCATAGCTGAATCTTGAGCCTACCTGTGGCCTCATTGTAATAGACGCTGATCCTGTCTAGCTGTAGATCACTGTCGCCATGGTAGGTTCCAGTAGGATCAATGCCATGCTCATCACTGATCACCTCCCAGAACTGATAAATCAATGAGTGTGGTAGGAGAGGAGGGAGAGACAGGTGTTAATTTAGCCTGGGGTAAAATAATACATATAATACAAAATCGTTTAATTTAACAGTATGCAGACATCAACATTTAAAGCAACACATTAGTGCAGTCTATTTCTCTGAAATACAGACAGTCTACGTATTCGATGCTATAAGAAAATGCTATAATATTAAGGGTTAACAAGCAGTACTAAAGCTATAATCCTTCTAATGTTAAAATAGAAAAAGTAGTACACGAGTTATTTTTAGAAATAGGCCATTTTTAACTGCAGCTAGGCAAAACTGGGTCATAAATTTGGAGGGGGAGGGGAGCAGATCCTACAGCGGCAATAAGGATGCATCCTGCTACAACACAGAAACACAGGATGCATCCTGCTACAACACAGAAACACAGGATCGCTTTCATTACTCGCCTCAACAGGCAGAAATATCCAGGGCCACTTTGCATGCAATTATAATCAAATAAATGTTATGCCTATTACATAAACGTTTTGTCTATTGCATAGCTCAATGCGTGCCTGCATCTTGAGTCCTGCAGAGAAAAGCAAAGAAAAGAGCTATGTCGTGTATGATTTTCATTTTATTCACTGCACGGTGAGAAGACGACGCGTGTCGTTTTCTCTAGTGAATTCTTGGAGGATGGATTAGAGGGCTCCTTTCGCCTCCACGAACGTCTGCACACGTCTAACCAGATAGCAAAACGAAGAGAGAGTGAAAAAAAAAGAAAAATACCTTGGCTCCGATCTGGTTTCCGCACTGACCGGCTTGCAAATGCACAATTTCGCGCATTTTGGATAAATGGACTCGAAGATGGCCGAGTAGGGGATAATCTGTGCAGCAGGGATTCACGGGATGATGATTTCTGCAGTCGATTGCCCGGGATGCGTTGCGCCGCCTCTAAGACCGTCTACTGGGCTGAATCGGTGGTGCAACTTGACGTCATCGCCATGGTAACCAAAGACCGGAGGAGAGAGGGAGAAACCGAGATCCGTGGAAATGACGGATAGGATGCGCGGTGCTGCATTAGTCAGCAGTGAGATTCTCCCTACTCTCCATGAGTACACCAACACCACCCCGTTCACACACACATTTAGATCGCCTACTTTATTTGAATCTGCTAATAAGTCACACACACACACACACACACACACACACACACACACACACACTAACCTTAACCACTTACACTTGCCTGACCTTAACCCTTACTCTAACACTTAACCTAATCGCACTCCAATATTCAATGATTTACCTAGTGACCGGCATCTAACACCAGGAAGACTGAATACCCCAAGCGTGTAAGCAGGCACGCACACCACAGCATCAAGGTCACAGTGCATTTTTAACACAATGTGTCCACTGAGATCATTATTCTCCCAATAAATCTACATCTGTCAGCATCAGCTTGAAAGGACAAGGACAGTAACATACAAAGCTTACAATGTACCAACTGTATCTGAGCACTAACTATTCACTGCCCTACCACCTAAATACAGATACTCTACTGTGCACTATTGGGTTTTGACTTTCAGAATCAGAAACACACCTACAATAGTATTATAAAAACATGTCACTTGGAGTAACAACCTGCACCCACATGAGTGCAATGCCTCTTCTTTTTAGTAGACTCAGATTCAATGCTCAGAACATTCTTTTATCTATTTTTGGCTGCTGCTTATTTTATAAGCTGCTTTTCTTGGATTGCAGTCTTTTTTCAGAAAAGAAAACATTGCCTCTGCTTCAGTGTGAGGTTATGAGTTGGTTTAGCCAGTTTGGGTTAAACCCATCTGCTAAAAGCTACAAATCATACTGTGAACACAGCAGGAGTTTTGGGAAGCAATGCTTCAAAATTCAAGGATGCATGAAATTATCAGTAGTGTTTTGTTTTTGCCTTGCCATCCCCAGTGTCCTAAATGGGTTAGACCACGAAATAAGAAGTAGATTTAAAACGTTTGCTAGTGTGTACCCTCAGGCTGATGACATGGATGTCCGTACTGAAACGTTCACACTCATATCCTGTATGATTACATTCCAAACACGGAGCAAGTTACCAACCACTTTTAAGCACTGCAGCAGTTGGCCAATAGGGCTTTATTTCCTGTTTCTCAGCCCTTTTACATACAGCATTTTTTCCACACAGCTGCAGTTTAAGTTCATGCGCAGGAAAACCAAGAGCATTTGCTACTTCATGTCAAGAACAATAGACAGAACATTCTGACACAAGTTTAACTAAAAAATGTTGTTGTCGCTGACAGAGGACTCATTAAGGACTTAACCCTGAGGACTTACTGTATGCTGTTTGGAACTGTGGATTTACTTTATTGTACTCAACAAGGTAATGACCATGTCACTTCCAGAGGAGGATCTTACATGCCCAGTGTGTTGTGACATCTTTACAGACCCTGTTTTGCTGTCATGTAGCCACAGCTTCTGCAGGAGCTGTCTGAAGCGTTGTTGGGACACAGGGTTGCGTGAGTGTCCAGTGTGCAGGAAACGAGCCTCCAAGTCCAGTCCTCCCTGCAATTTGGCTCTGAAGAATGTCTGTGAGGCTCTTCTGCAGGTCAGGAGGCAGAGTTCAGTGCTGGGGGAAGAAATGATTAACTGTAATCTGCATGGGGAGAAGTTAAAACTCTACTGTTTGGTTGACAAACAGCCCATCTGTGTGGTGTGTCAGTCTTCCAAACTGCACAAGATCCATGACTGTGCACCCATAGAAGAGGCAATGCTGGATTGCAAGGTAAGGAACATAATCATAACAATATGTTTAACAGTTACTCTTTAGCAACAACTTGCTGAACAGACCCTGCTGTTTTTATGGTAACACCTAAAGGCAAAATGCTGTTCCACAAGTCTGTCCTGACTGTAACATCACAGTTTGTTTTAGTGATGCACCCAGGATTAAATATCAAATGCACTCAAAAACATGATTCTATTTTTGACTTTTAGGATGAACTTGCTTTATCTCTCAAGAGTTTGCAAGATAAAATGAACCACCTCAGAACAATTCAGAAGGCTTCTGCGGACATGTTCGAGTTCATCAAAGTAAGCTGCAATGACAAATCTTACATGTTTGTTATAAATAAAAAGTCAGAATTTGTAATAATCTCCCTCAGAGTCAAGCCCTGGAAACACAGAGACTGATCAAGAGCCAGTTTGAGCAGCTCCATCAGGTCCTCTACCAAGAAGAGTCAGACAGATTAGCAGCTGTGAAAAAGGATGAAGAAGAGAAGATTTCAGGGATGAAGAAAAAGATCAAAGAACTTTCTGCAGAGGTTCTGTCCCTCATACAGACCATCTCAGTAGTACAGGAGCAGCTGAAGGAAGATGATATGGTTTTGATGAAGGTCCACACAGTCTGTTTTACTTCAGCTTTTTAATCAATGTTTCCAAAAACCCTTCACCTTGACACTGTATTTTTTATTTTCCAGAATTTTAAAGACACTCAGGACAGGTAGGTTAACATGATTATGGATTTGCCCTCTTATTTTGATGCATTATTTTCTCACTTTAAGATGCCTGTTGTTCTCACAGATGCAAAAGCACTGATCCTGGTTCAGACGACATGTCTGGGTTACTGATTGATGTGACCAAGCATCTCTGCAACCTTAAGTATGCAGTATGGGAGAAAATGCTGGCGCACATTGACTTTAGTAAGTTCATTTCATTGTAGTTTTCTTTAGGCCCATAAGCTGAAAGAGCAGAATTGTCCAACCCAAAGCCCGTTTTACACCGATCTGTCTGATTTTATTTTATGTCTGTTAGCTCCAGTGACCTTGGACCCAAACACAGCACACCCCTGCCTCATCCTGTCTGAGAACCTCACTTCCTTCCACTATTCAAAGCAGCCTAGCTATTGCCCTGACAACCCAGAGCGCTTCCACATAAGCGCTGAAGTGGTAGCCATGACTGCGCTTGGCTCAGGAAGTCACCAGTGGGTCGTGGAAACAGGAAGTAATCAGGACTGGCTCTTGGGGGTGGTCTCTTTGTCTGTACCTAGGAATGCTGAGCTCTCAGCTCGGCCTGAAAATGGTTTCTGGACTTTATGTTCCCGAGATGGAGAGTTCAGGGCAATGACGTCTCCACCCATCACACTGACCCTTTCAAGACCACCCAAACAAATCAAAGTGCAACTGGATTACAACAAGGGGACAGTATCTTTTTTTGACCCTGCTGAAAATACACTTATTTATGCATTTATACACACATTTACTGAACCTTTACTTCCATATTTTTACACACAGAGCAGTCATCCATTGAGAATAATGCCAGAGAAGGTACTTGTTACAATGTTGCATCAATAACTGGATGAATGATTAATTAATTACATTAAACACACACGCACACACACAGTTGGGGTCCTGTTTTGATAGAAAAACTAAATTTGGGTTGGGTGGATTGACTGGCCTAATGTTCATGATTCTGACAGAAGTCTTGGAAAATATTTGATATGGTATTCTTCATCTGGATCCTTCTTTTAAAACACATTATCTAATAAATTAGCATTCTGGTTCTTAAGTTGCTAATATACTTGACTAAACATGCATTGCTCTCAGTTGTTAAAAAAGGGGAGTCAGGTTGAAAAGGTATGATTAATGTAAATAAATATCAAGAAGTTTAGGTTAGTTCATAGATGAGTTTGAATAAACTAAAGTGTGACAAAGAGAATTTTAGATTTTTGTGTTCATTACCATAATACACTGAGTTTATTTTTTACATGTTCAGCACCATGCACCTTAAGACATATACATCACACGTGCTCTTGTTAGAAAACATTGTTTTTTGCGTAGCTGCATGGTGGCTTTGATTTGTGCTTAAACTTTAGTTTTATGAAGTGATGTATGTTTAATTCATCAAGAAGGTCAAAAGGTTCTCTGTACTGGAAGGATTATGTATGGATTTATTTCTGTTGCACACATGATGGCGCCAAAGTCAAAGAAATCTTTGGAGGATTTCTGTAAAAGGGAGGCTGAAGCTTAGAAAAAAACAATTTACAAGAAAACAGTTTTCCAATTAATTAAAATTTATTTAAAATGTTGGGTTTCCATTTATTGCCTCATTATTGATACACATTTTAAAATTGAATGATTTTTACATAAAAGTTTAACTACAATAACACTCTACATAAAATGCTCTCAATTGAATGAAACATTTGGAAAATGATTGAAATAATGATAAATAGAATCTATATCATGTGTAGAAATTGACAATTAGATTTATAGTGTTCAGATCCTACTCTCACAGTGTTTGTAGAGGCACTAGACACAGCATCCATGGGGCTCAATGTGTGAATGACATTCTCATATAAACCTAGGCAGGTGAGGGCTCTGCAGGTCGGGTTTTGCTGTTCTCTGCCAAGACACAGGTGCAGAGCTTTTTAACACAAGTGTCTGGGAGGAACGGCATCTTCTCCAGACGAGAAAGGTAGACAAGGGGCTGAATGGTACTACTGATGTTGAGGAAGGCAAAGCCCATTGGCTGCACATAGCAGCGAAACACATCAGGGGCATAGTGGTCTTCAAAAGGGAAAAGTGCTACAGGTGGCAGGTAGTTAAACACAATGATACAAAGGATAGAATACACAGTCTTGAAGGCCTTCTTCTTCATGGGGTGCATCTCATCTTTCCCTGCACCATGGGACTTCTTCAGGGCCCAAAGGATGCTTATGTTACAAATAACCATCCATGTAAATGTTACCAGGATCTCACAAGTGAACACCTTCTCGAAGTTGGGAATACCTCCCACAGCCTTGGCTGCTGAGTAGACAAAGGTTAGGCAGAGTACAAGCGCTGAGAGGCTTATCCTGTACTTAACATCTCTATGCTGCCCAAATGCAATTGGAAAGAGCACAGCCACAAATCGATCCAAGCAGATACAGGAGAGGAACAATGGGCCGCTGGTGTCTTTCACACCATAAGAGAACTTCACAGCGGAATATACCCCTTTGCTGTTCCAGTAATAAAGATTAAGGAAGTTAATGGGGGTCATGACACCAAAGTAGGCATCCATGAAAGCCAGGCAGCCCAAGAATATATCTGAAGTGGAGGGTTCCTTGCGATTGTGGATGAGGAATGCAATGACAATTAAGTTGACAGGGATTCCTACAACTACGTTGATGCACTGCAGGGTCAGGTCAAAGAGAACGGCCTCTACCTGATGATCACACCCGTCAAACACACTGAAGGGTTTTACTGTCACACTGATGTCAGTTGTGGAATTGAGAAGGAGTTGAATCAGGTGAGAGGTTGAGTTAAGGGATGAAGATGCGTTTCTCTCCATGTTTTACAAGTGTAAAAACCAGGACTCTGATGGAAGAATAAGAACAGGGTTCATGAAACACTTATTTAAAATCTGTACAACTGTACAGCGTTCACTAACTTACTGTAATTAACACAATCTCTCATTGAAGCCAGGTGTTTATTAAGGGGCATACTTTTATAATCTTGTTTTCTAGCTCAGCACAAATGATACTGTGTTATGTCAAACATACTGTTGTTCATTAGAATCCTTGTTTCTGAAATGCTGAGAAGTTTATTCTCAGTAGAGTTAAACTAACACTTCCCAGAGAGCAAAAACACGTTGCAAACAACATCAGGGCTTCTCCTCAGGCTGTTATCTTGTTATTGCCTCTGTATGGGCTCTCCTCTGGGAACAGTGACTCCCTCTGTGCAGGGACATCTAACCCACTTAAGGGGCTCGTGTTAGAAGCACCACCCTTTCACGACAGAATAAAAGGGCAGCTATGACCAAACAGAAATGGCAAAGGTCACATTTTGCACGTACACAGTCACTTAAGACTATCACTGGTATGGGCAATAGAAATTTGGTAATTTCCTGAAGCTCTTAAAAGCCAGCTTATGATATTTAGATATTCCTAAAGCTAATTTCTGATCAGAAAAAGCCAGGAACCTGGAAAACAAATTTAATAATGGCTGGATTGATGAAATAATAACTGGAATCATTATAGATGTCCTGGGCCTTGAACTCTGTGTCTCTGCCGCTGGTCTCTACAGGAAGACCACACATGGAAACTTTTTTGTTTTTTCAGTTTTTCTAATACAGGCTCTAAATATCAGATTTTCTTCTGGGCTCTGAGACTCTGAGCCAGGCTGATCTCCATGACCTCTTTGAAAACATGAGTCCTCACATGCAGTACACCTGAGCTCCCTCAGCTGAATGGACTATTGGAGCCAGAGGCTGTGATTGTTCCTTGTTCAGTCATCAAGGGGCCTGTTCTGCTTTAAAATGGTGTTGCTCTCCTCGCTCCCTCAGTGAATGATGTTTCTAACCTCCCGTCTGCTGCCAACTCGACCTCAGGCCACTCATACACCTGTGGGACTAATCACACTGAGGGCGGAATGAAGCTGTATGCCAAAGACGCTTGTCCCTGGAGACAGCAGACTTAATCAATTGTGTTTTTCTTCAGGAATATCTACTGAAAATAAAATAAACAAAGCTCACTATTAAAAGTATTTTGGATCATTTAATTAGGTGCTAAATACCCACCAGTACTCTTACTGTTTAACATGTATTCTTAAAGTAGTCAGAGTTAAGTTGCCTGTTATTTGTGAGGAAGATATTTTCTATATCTATCTATCTATCTATCTATCTATCTATCTATCTATCTATCTATCTATCTATCTATCTAAAATGTGATTTTTCATTCAGAAGTTTGATTAATGACAAGGATAATTATTGACTATCACTGTTTTTGCAGCTTTCATAAAGTATTACATAGAGTATAAACTTTCTTCCTCAGGTTTCTTCAAATACATGAAATACTCTAATATCTTTCTACTGAACATAGTTAATGAGCTCTTCAGTTAGAACCTAAAATGTTTCCAGTCACAACCTGATTTTGAAACTGCAACATGAGGGGAAAGCCAGTTATATTCAATTCATCCACATTATATCCACAGTTGTTTGCAAAATGCAGTTCTTTCTTATGTAATAGTACAAATTAACTGCAATAATTCCAGTAAGTATTATCAAACTGATGCACTTTCCATGGACGAATAATTGAGTCCTGCCTCTACTTCAAGAACATGTACTTGGTTACAAAGTAACCTGAAATTACAAAAACATAAATGAAATAAGGAGCTTTGTAAAAGTTTAAATTGTATGGATTCTTTTTCTTTCTTTGGTTTATTTTTTTTATTTATTTTACTCACCAGTGTGGTGTTTTCTTCTGTGTTGGGTAATAGATGCAATGCAAACATCAGTGTGTGTTTCAGGGATTCATTTATATGTTCTATGAGGTGTCGTGAATTTGACGCTGACCGGGGGGAGGATCTTCTGGAGTTTTTGACATCATGAGGAAATAGTGACTCTTCCTACACAAGACTCTTTACTAGGATGCCTTCAAATAGTTTCAGCAGCAGTGCGTTAAGAATGGGTACCTGCTACAAAGATCTGGTAATGAACTGTGCCAGAGTTTATAGATGTGTTTGCCACTGTGCCATTTCCTTGTCTCCTAGGTTGTCAATCAGGACTTGACATGTGGATTCAGGGAGTATCCTGGTTTGTTGATGCCGTGGCTCTTCTGGAGCGATATATGTCATCTTCACTCAGCCCTTCATCCTTTCCTCCTGTTACTAGAGCTGCTGAGCACAGTTGCACAAAAACAAAATGAGCAGCGAAGTGTAAAAGTCAGTAGTATCTAAGCAATGATCAGTGGTATCAAAATAAAAGTATCCTTTCTCTGACTCATTCATTTAAGGACAACAGTACAGTTAGTGAAGACGTGCCACTTACTGTAATACCTGAAGGTGGAAAAGGTCTCTGTTTATAACTGTGTAAAGTCTGTGTGAGTATGTGCCAGGGTTTGTTGGAATTGATTGTTTAACAGGGGGCTTAACTGCCTCTAGTTGGGTGAGTTGAACTCAGTGTTATGTTCCTGTGTTCCAAAGACAAAACCTACACAGATTTATTGTCTCATTTATGTGCAAATTTAATGGAAAGGCTCAAACAGTAGCACAGTGCAATGTGGTTGCTTTACCTCTCACTGGTTAAGGGGGGCAGTAGTGGTCTGCACAGAGCAGGGTCTCACCAAAAACACTTTGCAGACATGACATGATATTTTATATTACTGTGAATTCTCCAGGAAAGTCTGAGATATGTTAAGTCTACTTTCTCCCTTCTCAAACTCCTGGAGGTCCAGCCGGGTAAATGACATATGTCATATTTTGTCTTACAGTTTTTCTGAATTGCTAAAACACATTTCTTGAAACTATCACTCATTTTCTCAAAACCTTAAACACAAATCCAAATATTCAAACTAAATTCACAAAACCTCTGACTCGTCTGGCAAAATCAAGCAATTGCTTCAAAACCATGTCACCAGCACTCAAAATCAAACAATGCTTTCAGATCATACACAAATGGGTCAGTCATATACACACTGCAGCTCAGTCATTAGACACTACATCAAAAAAGGAGAACACAGCATCCAGGACATGTAGTTACAACAAAGAAAGTTTATTATATAGTGAATTTACCAAAAAACCATGTTACGATCAAAAAAAAAAGAAGAAGAAGAAGGAAAAAAAAACACATCAGAAAGATTATTCTGCCTCAGGATCACGTCTTTGAGCTGGGCCTGGCCAGAGGGCTTCATCTATGTCACAGGCAATGTTGTCCCATCCCAGGCAATGGGCAAAAAACCCTCTGGTGTGGCGGATCCAGCCTTGACAAGACTGCACCTTTATGTCACCACAGACCAGTTCCATTGCCTGTATGAGATTTTCCCTGGTATATGGGTTTCGGTCATAGACTTTCCACCGCCAT